TGGTAGGGCACCCACGGGCCTCCGGCGCGACTGCGCTTGTAGATGGCGAAGCTCTCCGGGCGGCTGGTGTGGAACTTCAGCCTCACGTATGAGATTTCATAAGCCTTTCCTGCAGCCGGGAGAGATGGGGCCAATGGACGATGCACAGGATGGGAAGCTGGAGTCCTGGTCCCCCAAGAACTGCCACCTCTGCCTCTCGGCAAACCCACAGTCTTCCTTACACACAGTCCTCCTGAGGAGGACTCACGCAGCCCTCTGCTGAAAACTCTTGTCCCTGTGTCAGAGCTAAAGCTCTAGAACACCCAGAAGAAAATATAGGCGTCCATCGTTCTGACTGGGGGTTCGGCAACCTCTTTGGAGAATGATGCTAAAAGTGACCCCCACCCCACTGTGCGCCACCATAGAAATCTTCAACTTCATTCAAATTAAACATTTTCATTTCAAAATATGCCATTGAGAAAATGAATTAAATGATTTTTTAAAAATGTTTTGGAAATGATGATGGCAGCATATGTACAAATGTGCTTGATACAATGGATGTATGGATTGTTATAAGAGATATAAGAGCCCCCAAATGATTTATTTAAAAGAGAGAAGATGGAAATGAAACCACCTACAGAATTAGAGAGAGAGAGAGAGAATATTTGGCAAATCCTATCATCTGATAAGGGGCTGATCTCTAGAACCTATAAAGAGCTCTTACAATTCAATAATAAAAAGGCAAATGCCCCCACTATTTTTCTCCAGTAAAAAGAGATACAAATGGCTACCGAGCACATTAAAAGATGCTTCATGCCATTAGGACAAGAAATATAAGGAAAACACAGACTCGAGGTATCACCCACTAGGACGGCTGGAACCCAAGGACAGAGAAAACTAGTCAGTGTTGGTGAGGGAGTGGGGGGATTGGGACCCTCTGCACTGCTGGAGTGGGAGAGAGCGGGGGCTTTGTGCTCCCATAAAGAGTTGGAATCTCAGAAACCCACAGGGCGGTCCCCCCATGCCCTCCAGGGTCTCTGGGACTCAGCAGGACTCCGGCAGTGAGCGTGGGGTTGGGAGCTGCACCGCAGGTGGGAGTGTAAAATGGGGCAGCCACTTGGGAAAGCCCCCCGCGGTCTCCTCAAAATGTCAAAACACAGCATTCCTGTGTGACCCAGGCGTCCTACTGCTGCCCGGAGATTGAGAAGCGCGGTTCCAGAAACAAGTGTGTGCACACGCACGTGTGCATGGCAGCGTGACCTAGAACAGCCCCCAAGCTGAAGCAGCTCAGACATCTGTCAACTAGCGATGGAATCCATAAAACATGGACATCCACTCGGTGGCTCTTTTCTGGCAACACACAGGAACAAAGTCCTGATGCATGGGGCTGCAGCCAGGATGAACCTTGTCCACGTGGGGCCAAGTGGAGGAAGGCGGACACAAGAGGTCACCTACCATATTGATATGCAACACCTAGAACGGACAGGCACAAAGAGCGACACATTTGACTATTGACTGAAAAGGTGGCACCATGTGTCTGGTGGACTTCTATGGTAGTTACAGAATCTGTTGTCAATTTGAGACTTAAGAGTGAAGGGGTGGCAGGAGAAACGAAGAGGGATGCAGAGGGAGGGGAACACATCCTGGCCCACCAAGCCCTGAGGATGATATTCCTGCTCAGAGCAGACAATGCACAGAGAGGACCATAGGGCCAGCGCCACCATGAGACATGATGCCCCTCACTAAACCGTAGCACTGTGGGGGGGTGGGGGGGAGACACACATGGAGACACAATGTGGGAATTGTGCCCAATTTGACCCCATCACACTGGGTCGAAACACCAAGGGCGTGCAACAGAGCAGCAAGGGGGAACAAAACGATGAAATCCCCGGAGAATACCAAAAATAGACTTTAAGGACAGAGTGTGACACCCCATCAAACTCAACTGTAAAACACTCCTAAAGGTAAAAAACAGACCTGGAACTATTTATAGGCTTTTCCTTTTGTGTCATCGGGAGATGAAAAGGGAACCAATGGTTTGGGGGCAAGGATATAGGAGAAGGGGAGGTGGGAGAAAGGATGGGGGCATGGCAACCAAACCAGGGACAAGGGAACAACAAGTGAACTAAAACCAATGGATGTCCAGTGGGGCTTAATCAAGGGCAATGTAACAGCGAGGAATTACTAAACCTGAATGAAGGCTGAACATGATGGTGGGACAAGAGGAAAGTAAAAGGAAATAGAGGAAAGAACCAGGATGCAAAGGACATTTATAGAGGCCTAAATACAGGCATGTACACATGCAAATGTATTTATATATAACCACAGGGAAATAGATCTATGTACATATATGTTAAGAATTAAGGTTGCAGATGGACATTGGGCCTTGCCTCAAGTACTCCCTCAACACAAGAACACTTTGTTCTAATAATCCAGCATTCTGTGATGCTCACCTTCCCGATATGATTGCTGAAGACAAAGCAGGTGCATAAGCAAATGTGGTGAAGAAAGCTGATGGTGCCTGGCTATCAAAAGATATAGCATCTAGGGTCTTAAAGGCTTGAAGATTAACAAGTGGCCATCTAGTTGAGAAGCAACAAAGCCCACATGGAAGAAGCACATCAGCCTGTGTGATCATGAGGTATCAATGGGATAAAGAATCAGGCATCTAAGACCCAGAACAAAATCATACCCAATGTGAATGGTGTGTGTGTGCGCGGGGTGGGGGGGACATGGAGTGGAGACCCAAAGCCCATATGTAGACAATTGGACATCCCCTCACAAAGGGGTCACAGGGAAGAGATGCCAGTTAGGGTGCAGTATAGCATCGATGAAACACACAACTTTCCTTTAGTTCTTTTAATGCTTCCTCCCCCCTGCTATCATGATCCCAATTCTACCGAGACCAGAGGATGTACACTGGTACAGATAGGAACCGGAAACAAAGGGAATCCAGACAGATGATCCCTTCAGGACCAGTGGTCTGAGTGACAATACCGGAGGGTGGAGGGAAGGTGGGGTAGAAAGGGGGAACTGATTATAAGGATCTACACATAACCTCCTGCCTGGGGAATGGAAAACAAAAAAGTGGTGGAAGAGACATGTTGGACAGTGTAAGACATGACAAAATAATAATAATTTATAAATTATCTAGGGTTCAAGAGGGAAGGGGCGGCGGGGAGGGAGGGGAAGAATGAGGACCTGATGCCAGGGGCTTAAGTGGAGAGCAAATATTTTGAGAATGATGAGGGCAATGAATGTACACATGGACTCGACACAATTGATGTAGGTATGGATTGTGGTAAGAGTTGTATGAGCCCCCAATAAAATGTTTTTGTTTTTAAAAAAATATTAATTTAGAGGGGAATAAAAAGAGTGAAGGGGTGGAGTTTAGCCTGTCAACCAGGTCGGAGCTTGATGATCTCATTTGGAGGTGCAAGGGAGATAAATAGCTCGCTGGATGCCAGACACTCACACACTGACTGTGAGACGTTCCTGCTGACCAGACACATGGAGCTACACGAGAGCCCTGGAGTTAGAGGAGCTGTGGAGACCCCTGACAGGGCTGAGATGCTTCCACGGCCACTGGGTCCACAAGACTTTCCACCCACTGGCCTGTGATCTTTCTGCATTCGGCATTATTGCATGGCTGCATGAGTCTACAGAGGAATGTATGGACTAGTCTTGGACATAGGGGCCAATATGGGACTTATGGACTTGATCTGGACTGGGTTGGGATGTTTTCTTATTGTACAATTACTTTTATATAAAGCTTTCTCTTACACACACATGAGTGCCTATGAATCTGTTTATCAATCAACCAAGACTATCCTAACTTCTAGGGGGCCGTGGTCTTGAAAACCCTGCGGTGGGGAGCTCTGTTCTGTACACATGGGGTGTCAGGAGTCAGAATCCACTCAATCAATGGTCTCGGCTTTGCTTTCTTTATTTCTTCTTTTAGGACTGAAGGATCTTGGGAGGTAATGAGGGGTGATTGCTACAGGGTCCGTAGGGTGATGAGAATATTTTAAAATCGATTGTGATTATTATTGTGTGGCTATCTACTACAACCCACTGATGGGTCCAGAAAACTTGAACTTCATCCAAAATGCGAAACATTTGCATTTCAAAGGCTACTGTTCAGAAAATGAAAACAACCCCTCCCCCTACAGAACGAGAGAGAATATTTGCAAATCATGTTACCCGATAACGGACTCATACCTAGAGTCCATCAAGAAGGCTTACAAGTCAATAAGAAAAAGACTGCCACCTCAATTATCATTATCCAAAGAAAAGATGCACACATGGCCGATGAGCACATAACAAGATGCTCAACACCATTAGGAAAATATAGGAAATGTTAGGAAAATAAAAATCACAACGATATCGAGGTATAATGGGATTATATAAACCAAAACACAAACTCACTGCCACTGAGCTGATTCACCTCTAGTGACCCAAGAGCAGTGGTTCTCAGCCTGTGGGCTGCGACCTCTCTGGGGGTCGAACGGACCTCTCTGGGGGTCGAACGACCCTTTCCCAGGGGTCGCCCGGTTCATCACAGTAGCAAAATGACCGTTATGAAGTAGCAATGAAAATCATGTTATGGTTGGGGTTCACCACACATGAAGAACTGTATGAAGGGGTTGCCGTGTCAGGAAGGTTGAGCCCCACTATCCTAGAGGGTAGAGTAGAGCTGGTCCGTAGGATTTCCAAGTCTGTGATGCTTTAGGGGAGCAGTTTCATCTTTCTCCTGCAGAGAGGCTAGTGGGTTTGAACTGCAGATCTTGTGGTTAGCAACTCCATGCTTACCCCATTGCACCCCTAGGGCTCCTCAACCCCCAAACTCACTGCCATCGAGTTGGTTCCAACTCACAGCGACCCTCCAGGGCAGAGTAGGATGTCTCTGTGGCTTTCCAAGACTGTAACTCTTTATGGAAGTCGAAAGCCTCATCTTCCTCCTTCAAAGCGGCTGGTGGTTTCGAACTGCTGACCTTGTGGTTGTCAGCCCAACACATAACCCACTACACCACCAGGGCTCCACAAGGGATGCTTCTAGCACACACATGTTCAAAGACAAAAGAACCTCAGCCCTTGGGGCAGGCAGTTTGGCAACACAGGTGAAGAAGA